GCTGACAGTTCACTTCGGTGGTCCCCGTGGCAAGGCTATCCGTCAGAACTACATGTCCATGACCTTCGAGACTGTTGCTGCCGACGGTTCTATCAAGTCGGAGCGCATTTTCAAGGAGATTGACGAGAAGACCACTTCCTACACCTACCGCTCCCCCACTGGTCTGCTGTCGGCTACTCAGTTCACCCAGCCCGCCCTGACCCTCATGGAGAAGGCCAGCTTCGAGGACATGAGGTCGCGTGGCCTTGTTCCCAGAGACTGCACCTTCGCTGGTCACTCTCTGGGTGAGTATTCCGCCCTCGCTGCCTTGGCTGAGGTCATGCCCATTGAGAGCTTGGTGTCTGTCGTCTTCTACCGTGGTCTTACCATGCAGGTTGCCGTCGAGCGCGATGCTGCCGGACGCTCCAACTACTCCATGTGCGCCATCAACCCCAGCAGAATCTCCAAGACTTTCAACGAGGAGGCTCTCCAGTTCGTTGTCAACAGCATTGCGGAGGAGACCGGCTGGCTTCTTGAGATTGTCAACTACAACATCGCCAACATGCAGTACGTCGCTGCTGGTGACCTGCGCGCTCTTGACACCCTTACCGGTGTCACCAACTTCCTCAAGCAGCAGAAGATTGACATCGAGGAGATGCGCTCCAACATCGAAGAGGCCAAGGATGCCCTCAAGGAGATCATCAAGGGCTGCGCCGAGGCTACCCTCAAGAAGCCCACGCCTCTTGAGCTCCAGCGTGGCTTTGCCACCATTCCCCTGCGCGGAATCGACGTGCCTTTCCACTCGACCTTCCTGCGCTCTGGTGTCAAGCCCTTCCGTTCGTTCCTCCTCAAGAAGATCAACAAGACGACGATCGACCCTGCCAAGCTTGTTGGCAAGTACATTCCCAACGTGACGGCCAAGCCCTTCGCCCTTACCAAGGAGTACTTTGAAGATGTGTACAAGCTCACCAACTCCCCCAAGATCGCCTCGATCCTGGCGAACTGGGAGCAGTACACTCAGGACGGCCCTGCTCCTAACGGCGTGAACGGTGTCACCGCGGACCACGAGGGCCCCGGTGCTGCTGCGTAATGTGTGGGCGTTTGACGCTACACGATGATGAAAACAATGGCGAGGATACTAGATGACGAATGGCGGATACTCATGACTCTAGACGGTGGCGTAATTGTTGTACAAACTACGATGGATGTTTTTTCTGACGATTGTTTTATCACGCGGTAGAAAGTTTTTGTGTTTTATGGGCGGCGTCAATTGTTAATGGTCGTACAAGGACAAGAAAGAATAGAGAGCAATATTTCATAAATCCTATCGCCGGTGACTCGATGTGAATGAAAACAAGGCTAAGGGATGACAGCTTGTGTCGCCGACAATCACGAGAAAAATGTCCGAGCCGAACGTAGTGTCCAACAATGAAAGGGAGGGGCGGGCAGTGGTGATACAAGTGAGGTGTTGGGAGCCAACAAGCACCGCAGTTCTGACAGCGGGGGATCGACGGAAAGGGAATGCAAGGACCCGGCATCGCAAGTGGTTCTTCCGAAGGTGCAGCAGCGTCAGCACCAGCGTCCCGAGGTGCAGTTGCAGTGATCGACGGACTCACCCGGACAGGACAGACCAGACCGGGGAGGGTAAGTCGACCTGCCTATCAGGGGTAATAGCTCTTAGCGGACTATCAACTATCGATATGGTCATGTGGGAAGCTAGGTATTCTCAGGTGTCAGCCAAGGCTTGGAGCGTTCGCGTGGGAGGACAAAGAGGCTTGTCGGATTATCGGACTGTGGCTGAAGGAGGGGAGCTGGAGCTGGAGCCCCTTGGGGGAGGGGAGGGGAAGAAGAGGGGAAGACCCCGAGGGGGGTCGATGCGTTCGGCTTGCGGCGAGCGCCGTGCGACGTTTTACGGTGAGAAGCGCCCCCCTTTGCCCTCTCTCCGCCCGCCTGCGGGTGGGGGAGGGTTTTGGCAGGTCGTTTCCGGGGGTCCGATTGCCTGGAACACAGCACGCTCCAGGCTTGTGCTTGTCGAGTGTCTCTTGGGCAGTATGAACTCATTGTTTATTTCCCGGCCGGCTTTGTGTCCTGGAAGTTGCTTTGATTTGATTTTATCCAATTTAGTAGTAGTAGAGTCACAGGAGGAGTCAAAATGTGTTTGCTGTAGTACACGATGTTTCCGGATCGAGTTAAGAAGCTCAAGCTGGTCTCTGTAGACACGTGGTTCCTCCCGGTGCCGCCCAAGGGAATTTTATCTTCAGTGAAGGAGGCTTGATGTGGAAGTTGCGAGGCGTGCCGCCGGCGAACCCCTACCGCAGCACCGCTAGCAGCTAACAGCTAGGTAAGGTACGGGCGCCCGCCCGCAGCTCCCCCTTTTTTTTTCCCCCTCCTCGCGCTTCTTCGTCTTATCTTTCCGACGCCGCGGCCGGGTTTGGTTGGGGTGCGTGGGTTTCGGTTGCTTGGGTATTCACTGAAGATGCGCGTCATCTGTTGCACTGCATATATCTACCCGCCTTCCCTTTCCTTCTTCAGGACTTCGGTTCTTGTTTTTTGTCTATTTTTCTTGAGTTTTGACGAGCGAGTTGCTGTCGGCCTTGGCATTGGCTCGTGATCACGCACATACACACCACACCACACCCTCTCTCGCTCTTTTGGTGGTCTTCTAGAACGGAGGACAGGAAGGATTCCCTGGGCGGCCTGTGACAGTGGTTACCTTAACGAGAGCTCAACTTGGACAACGACTCTTGGAACGACGTCAGCTGCGCCGAAGTTACCGACGACAGCCGAGCGAGGTATCCAGAAGCGTTGAACGGATATTTGGCGATTCCAAGCTGCACTCGGACGACATTGCGTTTACTTTTCTTTGCCATCTTTGACCCCGTCATCTCGATTCGAGTCTGGACGTATATTTAAGGCCGTGATACGCGAAGATGGGCGATATGATTAGAGACCCCTCCTCCGCATCAACCGAAGCAGCCCCGCGTGGAGGAGCGCCGGCGGCACCGCAACAAAAGCAAAACCAGCTGTTCCTCGGCACGTTTATACACTCCAAGACCCGCGAGGAGCTGGAGTACCTCCACGACACAGCCATCTGCGTCGATACCACGGGTACCCTCGTTGCCGTTGAGAAATGCGGCAGTCGAGCGGAAGCGGAGGAGGTGCTATTTCCCAGGCTCGGGTGGGAGAAGGGGGATGTGAAGGTGCATGTCGGAAAGGAAGGGCAATTCTTCTTCCCCGGGTTCATTGGTATGCGGTTCTGTCTTGCTCTTGCTTCCTGCTGGTTGACGACGTTTTGCTAACTTGGAACGCCATAGACACCCACGTCCACGCATCGCAGTACCCCAACGTCGGCATCTTCGGCAAGTCCACACTCCTGGACTGGCTCAACACCTACACCTTTCCCCTGGAGTCCAGCCTCGCGAACCTAAAGAAGGCGAAGCGCGTGTACACGGCCTGCGTCAAGCGCACCCTCGCCCACGGCACGACCACGAGCGCCTACTACGCCACCATCGACGTCGCCGCCACGAACCTCCTCGCCGACATCTGCCTCGCCCTCGGCCAGCGCGCCTTCGTCGGCCGCGTGTGCATGGACCGCCCCGGCCTGTGTCCGGAGTACTACAAGGACGCGGACGCCGCCGACTCGCTCCGCAAGACGCGCGAGACCATCGCCCACCTCCGGCGCATCGACCCGGGCTTCGAGCTCGTCGCGCCGGTGCTCACGCCGCGCTTCGCGCCGTCGTGCTCGGAGGAGGCAATGCGCGGGCTGAGCGCGCTGCAGCACGAGCTCGACGTGCTGGTGCAGACGCACATCTCGGAGAACGAGGGCGAGATTGAGCTGGTAGCGGAGCTGTTCCCGCAGAGCGAGAGCTATACTGATGTCTACGACGGCGTGGGCCTGCTCGGGGAGAAGACGGTGCTGGCGCACGCGATCCACCTGTCGGAGGCGGAGGCGGCGACGATCGCGGCGCGGGGAGCCAAGGTCAGCCACTGCCCGTGCAGCAACTCGAGCATTACGAGCGGGGCGGCGCGGGTGCGGTGGCTGTGGGACAGGGGTATCGAGGTCGGGCTCGGGACGGACATGAGCGGGGGTTATAGCCCGAGCGTGCTGGAGGCGGCGAGGCAGGCGGCGCTGGTGTCGCGGCACGTCGCGATGGGGCTCGAGGGCGCGGAGAAGGAGAGGGCGAAGTTGACCGTGGAGGAGGTGCTGTATCTGGGCACGAGGGGCGGGGCGAAGGTCCTTGGGCTCGGAGAGAGGATCGGCGGGTTCGAGGTGGGCATGCAGTGGGATGCGCAGCTGGTTGAGCTGGGTGTTGTCGATGAGGAAGGGGAGATTGAGGGGGGTATGGATTCGAATGTGGATGTGTTTGGGTGGGAGAATTGGGAGGAGAGGGTTGCGAAGTGGGTGTTTAACGGGGATGACCGGAATACGGTCGGTGTTTGGGTTAAGGGCAGGTTAGTTCACTCGAGGAAGTGAGGGGTCGTGATGATTCAGGAAAGCATTGCGGGCGGCGTTGGTCTTGCTCTTTTCTCGGTGTTGATAGAAAGTTAGTTGGAAAGACAATACAAGAGGATTTAATCTCCTCCAAGTATGGGTTTATTACTTCTCCACGGTTGCCCTTCGCAATCTTCTGTGTTCCAGCGCACGGTACTGGTTTGTGTTGAAGATCGGCTCCCAGTCTGCCCGTCAGCATGTGCAGCGCAAGTGCTGCACCAGGGTAAGTGGCACACTCCTGTTGGTTCACCATGCAGGTCAACGGGGGCATGACTTGCTGATAGATGCTGCTTCTCCAACCTCATTGGCGAGAAGCCTCTTGTTTGGCGCCAGGTAGCCTTGGGATATTCTTTCCCAGCTGTGACAAGATGCTACTCCTGCCCCCTCGCCACATCCTCACGAGCTTCAACCCCGACAAGCTTCTCATCTGACTTGAGTACGCGATTCGAACTCTCATATGGTCCAAATCACATGAACAAGTTTCCTTTGTTGGCTACGCTTCTGCGAGACTGTCTGGCACTCGCCCGCCATGTCCGGCCTCGAAGGACTGAGTCTCGCCTGCAACGTCATGCAGCTTATCGACTTCAGTCAGCAGACCGTCTCCATGTGCCGCACCATATACGAGAGCGGTAAATTCGAACCTGGACTCGAAGCACAGGCGAGCTCTTTGCAAGATGCCTCGTCGGAGGTAATGACCCTGCTTCGGAGCAAAAAGGTCGCTACGGCAAAAACCACGGGCGCGGAACGGCGCCTGTTGGATCTCGCACCCAAATGCATCCAACACGCGAAGGATCTCCAGGAAGAGATTGCGTACCTCACGCCTCGTCAGCCGGGTAGAATGCAAGCGCTGATTGCAACCTCAAAGGCCGTTTGGCGGAAGCGCCGTCTGGAACGGCTCAAGGCCAACCTCGCCGATGGGCAGAAGCTCATGGAGACATTGATCTTGGTCAGAATATTCGCAAGAGTGGAAAAGATGTGCGAGGACGATCCGACTTCCTTGGCGCGTATAGATCAGCGCCTTACAGCTTTCATTTCGAGATACTCCGAGGACCACGCTGCCCTTCGAAGGATCGTGCGGGACGAATCTGAGGATATTCGAGGTCACGTCACCGGAGAAGCGTCCAAAATCCGGGATTCTGTTTCACTACACGTCACAGCCAGCCTCAATGTCTCGGAAAGATCGATCAAGCAAATGGTATCAACATCAAGCGTCACCATCCAGGACAATTTGGTTCGGGAACTGGAGACGATCAACATTGCCGCAAGCAGCGAACGGGATTACCAACACCTACTTGAGAGCTTGAAGTATACCGATATGAATGAGCGGAAGAACAGCGTTAGGACAGCACATTCGCAGACATTTGAGTGGATATTCAAAGATAATCCTCGGCGAATCGACAAGTACTCAGTCGCAGGAAACCAATCAGATGTGATCGAAATCGCAGGCGTCGACTTCAACGTCAAAGACAACGTTGAGGAGAATGGCAGTAACGAAGCCACCAATGTGGCTTCTGAAAATGGCACCCAATCAGACGTTGAAGGGAGAGATAGGAGTAGTGAAGCCTCTTCACATGACTGCACCCAGGCCCCTCTGTGGGACAACTTCGTTGAATGGCTTCGGGGAACCGACCGCAATTTGTACTGGGTCAGTGGAAAGCCCGGGTCCGGTAAAAGCACCTTGATGAAGTTCATTGAAACAAGCGAAGATGCTCTCAAAATCATGGCAGAAAAGCATTCAAACCCCCGGGTTCTCTCCCACTTCGTATGGAAGCCGGGAAGACCTATGCAAAGAAGCCTCAAGGGCGTTGTCTGCTCTCTACTTTATCAAGTCTTGGAAGCGGACAGACGGTCCTGCGTCAGGTTACTAGTCAGCTTCCCGCGGCTCTGCTTCAAAGGCTCCGACACCGATTGGACGTATGAGGAGTTAAAGTCAGTTCTGCTCAGCCTCCTCCAGAATTGCTCGCAGAGGTATCTCATTCTATTGGATGGCCTTGACGAGATGGACTTTGCTGTTGACGGCGAAGCCATCTTGTTACATCTTTTTGATGAGCTACTTACGAATCAACATGTCAAGCTCTGCGTATCAAGTCGACCCGAGCCTGTGTTTCAGAGGTATCTGAGTAAACATCCCATGCTCATGATGCAAGATCTAAACATACTTGATATTCGAAAGTACGCGGAAGACACCTTGCGGACGTTGAAAGTTGAATCAACTGACTTACTCGATCGGCTTTCTTGGGAAGTTGTCTTGCGTTCAGAAGGTGTCTTTCTTTGGGTGGTCCTTGTACTAGCGAGCGTCAAAAGGGGACTCGGCAATGGCGATACTTTGGACATCATCTACAGTCGCATAAGATCCCTCCCGAGAGATCTCAAGTTGCTATACCTGGACATGTGGTCTCGTTCCAATGGGGACAGCATCTACTACAAGCAGGAGGCAATACTGTACTTTCAGCTTGTCATGGAGACTGATGGTTATCTCAAGTGGTCCATTTGCAGCCTTCTTCAACTGGCAATAGCGTCGAATACGGCTTGGCTGGACAATTTCGAAGCGCAATCCAGTATTCCAAGCATCCAAGAAGTCATGGCTCACTGTAGAAATGTTTTTCAAAAATTGTCCACGAGATGTTTGGGCTTACTGCAAGTCCAAACCATGGATCTCCAAGAGCTTGTGGACTTCCAAGATGATGATCCTGGCTTTTGGTCAAACACCAGTGTTGGATTTACCCACCGTACAGCCATCGATTTTCTCGTTGAAGACGAGGACGGGAGAAAGATCCTACAAGGCCACGCCCTCAAGCCAGACGAACTCGTCTCAAAACAAGCCAAGGCCATCTTATTGACAGCTTACTTCTTTAAGCCAGAATATCAGGCGGCAACAGAAGAGCTCAATATGCCACATCGTAAGTTTTTCACGGGCCAGATGTTCACAAGACTCTTGCTTCACAAGAAGGATAGTATTTCCTCTGTTACATTACACAGCCTCTTGTCATTGGTAAATAGGCACGCCAATGCCATTATACGGCATCCCCAGAAGCACTTCAAGAATTCTCAGCAACAATTTCTGGCTATCGCCACCTCCTTCGGCTTGTCCGATTGGGTTGCGGGGCTTCTCGACTCAATCGAAGCATCTAGCGGAGAAATGCAACTTTTCCTGTTGAGAGCAGCCTGTGCGCCATTCTTTATTGAGTTTTCGTATGGCGATTACTTCGCTTTCGATGAAAAAACCCACTTGCCGAGACGAATAAACAGAAATGAAGTCCACATGTCAGAAGTGGAAACTCGCCAGGACTTGAAGCGGGAAACTTTGATACGGGAGATCCTGTCACGCTGTTCCCAGCCTAGTAGCCAAGCGGGCGCTCTGTTCCTCCAAAAGTCTACTCCTCGGCATAACACCGCATTGGATGGCATCTCGAACGCCTGGCGCTGCTTTTTGGTGCACAACCTTCAAGGAATCGCCGATGACCACTTCTCCCACATGCCAGACAACATGTGGGCCGAGAAAATGCAAACCTTGCAAGGTTTTCTCTCCGCACACGTCTCACCCCATATTCGGCGCCAAAAGTACATTATTTGCGTTTCTTTCTGCATTACTCCAACCATGCAGCGTCGCGCAGTTGTATCTCTACGTTACCCCTGGGAGCTTCCCCAGGCGGAATGTGATATATATCTTGAAGTCAATGACGACTTTCTTCTGAGCGCCATCCTAGACAATATTTCAAAACATGGGGTACAGGAGTTTCCACTTGCCAGGACAGACTTACAACCCTCCGTCAGAGTCGTCATGTTTCGAACACGGACTCATTTCGCCCCTGCCCCCCCGTCGAGCACAACCAATAGCGCGCGATTTTTCAAAACAGCTTTCAAAAGAGCTTTGAACGTCTGCCACGGTGACAGTGAAGAGCTCTTCAAGGAGATTATGTTCCAGGTACCGGGGCAGGACTTTGCGATTTATAAGAGGCTCGTGGCCCAAGCTGAGTTCCTGCTGGACGGAGTCGAGGATGTTGTAGACGGATTGAAAGCTGCTGGCTACGAGTTCAGTGAGGTGGACACTACTTACGAGTGTTTTCATGAGCATGTCCTCTGGTAGAATAGTGAAGGCGGCAGGGATAGTTGTGATTTCTATTGCTATGTTTGTGCTTGAGCTATCCCATTAGGGCGGATAAATTCGAACTTGTTGGTCGAGTATCATGTGATGTACCCCTATGAGGTGCACCTCTCACTGTCACTACCGTTCCTGTTGTCCCCATTGTCTCCGTTGTCCCTGTCCTTCCTGTTTCTTCTGTTCTTGTTGTTCGCATTAGAAGGAATGGTCTGAAACTACCGCCCGAGTAAGAAATCCCTTTTCCTTTCCACTTTGAGTCCTACATTTGAATTTGGAAAGGCTGATAGCCTCGAAATATTCCCTCACAATGAGAAGTCAGACATGGAGTGACACGCAAGAAAGGAGCTCGAGGTTTCTGCGGAGAATTGTAGCAAATTCGTTTGGTGGTTTAGCTTCTTTCCTTGTTTAATCCATGACTAGGTGAAAGTCGGTTTCGTCTAACTATATCCTTTTTGCTTGGTGCACGCACGAGAGGAAACCTCGCTTCCGAGCAAGTTGTACTTCGGACCTATATGTGCAATATTCAGCGTATGAGGGCAAACTTTCTAACTACGAAAATGAGCCGTACCGCGGTGGTCATAGTTGATCCCCATGGCAAACAAGACTCTTCACTCCTACTAGTCCTCCGGGAATTAAACTTTCCATCCACCAAGACCGCACGAGTGATTGTTTGCGCAGTCACTCATTAAGCAAACTTCCCAAGGAGAATAAGAAGTTGATCGCGAGGGAAGAGTACACCAAAAGAGCTGAAATGACATTCTCCCTTTGTGAATGAGTCGTCGAACTGCTGTATCCAACGTGCAAAGGCCTGAAGCCAAGCAGCGGGGTACCGGTCTTCGATATCGTCAATGTCGATGTGGTTGTCGATTCCGGGGTCGTTGCCGGGCCAATTCGACATGTACCACAACCCTGAAGTCCCCCCGTCCGTGAAGATGGCGTACCCGTATCCCGCATTGGAAGACTGGTGATCTGAGCCGGTGTCTACTGTAGGGGTGGATTCTAGGTGAGATCTAGGCGAGCCTGTTGGCTGCGTGCCAGGCTGGATGTTGGGCGCATAGTCCGGCGCATCCTGTGAATTGGTGGCCGAGGTATTGTCTTTGAGACGTACGCCGAGCTTTTCGCCAGTTTTGAACTCAACGATGAGACCGTAGGGTGTCTCTACAGTAAACTGAATAGTGATATTGGAAGATGCAGGTAGCAGGAGGAACGCTCTGATGGAGGTGAAGTCAGCCATAGTGGCGACGTATTGGCGATTGAAGCCGATGCATGTTGCGAGAAAAATTAAAGGCTTCTTCTGGAATTGGGGGGCGGCATCTGCTAATAAGTCTTTAAAGTTCTAATGCCGAGTCATAAGTTTGCGCAGGGTGAGGCTACGTGTATCTCCGTTGTCCATAAAGGTGCATGCTAGTGCACCTAGGAGCTAAGAGAAACTCAAGGCTATTTTAAAAGCTGGAGGGGATGGGATACACATCACCATCGGAGAAATATGGATGAGGAGGACGAAGACGACAAGAACGATAGATACGACGCCGACGAAGACAGTAACAGACACGACAACGAATATGGAGGAAGGGCTGAGCATTAAAACGAGGCCTACAGGGCTAGAAACACAGGTTTTATAGCACTGTTGAAATAGTTATTGATAGTATTGATAAAATTGTTTCAACAACATCTATACCTTCCCCTTGGTTCCGCCAGCCTGCTTGACGAAGAGCTTCTTGAGTGTTGAACTGCCATGTTTCTCAATAATGTCGGCAATGCTCCCTGTATCGCCAAACTTGGCATCTGGTTGGAGACCCATGGAGAACAACTCTTTGAAGAACGCAACTCCATCAACACCTTCTCCCCTGCACGCCATGTCCACGGGACATTTCCCCTTGTTCATTGGCCACTCCGGCTTGCAGCCATCAAAAAGCCGTTCCATAATCTCCATATGATCATCGATCCGTGTATCGTAGGTCTTGTTGACATCTTGCGTTAAACTTGCCGCGTGTTCCACTGCCAAATCTCTTGCGCTCTTGCCTGATCCGTCTTTGATGTCTGGATCTGCGTGATACCGAAGCAAGATTTCTACGGCCTGCGCTGTGCCTGATGCCACCGCTCTATGAAGCGCTGTTCTTTTGTCTGAGCCCGAAGGTTCATTAACTGCGGCCCCTTCACGAAGCAAGAGGTCGAGTATCTGGGCATGATTGCTGTTGAGACTGCCTCGAAACTGATTGGCCGTGATGTTCAGAGGGCTGATACCCCATTTAGTGGTAGCATTGACCTTCGCTTTCTTGTACAATAGCATAGCAACTGCTAGTTCATCCTGTCGTCGGACCGCAAGATGAAGTGGTGAATTTCCGGTTCCTGGCTGCGTGGAGTTGACATCTGTTTCATGCTGCAGCAGAATAGCCATGGCCGCAAGTCTATACTTGCTGAGTGGGGTAGGCGCTGAGTTTCGTGGACCTCCTGTCTGCGCCATCTCGGCTCCGGAGAAGAGCTGCGTCATTGCGCAATCCCCAGTCGAATCTTTGACATTTGGCTCTGCCTCTTTGCTGCTCATAAGCAGCCATATTAGGTTTGTATAACCCTTGAAGTATTCGTGCTCCACGGCAACCTGGATCGTTGTTTTGCCAGTCTTCCTGTTGCGATAATTGATCTTGGCGCCCGCCTCGATCAAGGCCCTTAGGCACTTGTTATGCCTCGAGCTGCCGCCCTTGATGCACGCCCAGACGGGCCGGCGGAAGAAGCTCCTCGTCTTTTTGTGGGATGGAATGTTCTCCAACATGACACGCACGGCGGCTGTCTTGCCCTCACGGCAACGTTCAGTCAAGAAGTTCTGAACCGTTGTTATGCTTGGCATCAAAAGGAAGAACTGTACTATGCGTGACTTTGCTTCTTCCCCAATTTCTGATGTGGCCGTACTGGATGCCTCCAATTGGTACGTGTCCATGAGCTTCTCAACGTTGATTGAGGGAAGCTCTCTCTTTTCTGGGCGGGCTCGCCTCTTCCTCGTGGTCTCCTCTTTCTTTGAAGATGGGGCAGCTGGTTTCTTGAACGTCTTAGGGGTGCTCTTAGATCCAGTATTAGTCGGAGCTTCGATAGCGACTTTCTTCTTGGACTGTGGTTTGTCCGTCTTAGGTCTTTTGCTGCCGACTTCAGGCTCCTTCAATGGTAGAGAAGTGCGATGCCCGTCTCGTCGCGAGGCCTTGTCTGACCTAGTTGTAGCTGAAATTTGGGCAGACTCAGAGAAGCTAACGTGCTTCGTACCATCGTTGTTGGGTTTGGTACCAGTGTTAGATATAATAATGTAGTTTGGAACCGGGTGATCGTCCTTGAAGTTTGAAATTTCTTTATAAGATTCGTCCGTTGAAGTGTTTAATAAACTATTATTTTTCGATAATTCATTCCGCTCGATCTTGTCGTCTGCTGTAGTCATCTTATCCACTACCGGTGTTGGATCCGGGAGCAGGCCATCTGATAGGATCTCTTGGGCCTGCATTTGACCCGCATGGGCTACATCACCGTCGATCTGAGGGAATCGTTCCGAATTCTTCTTCAAAGTCGCGTCTGGAGTTGATTCTGTGACCCTTTCCGCAACCTTCTCCGAGACTGTTTCTGATACTGCTTCTGCAGCTGTTTCCGATATTGCTTCTGCAACTTGTTTCGATGCCGCTTCTGCGATTGTTTCCTTTGCTGCCTCAGCACCTGTTTGCAAAAATGTTTCCTCGATTGTTTTCGGCACCGCTTCCGAGGCTGTGATTTTGCTCGTCTCGTCACTTTTGAAATCCGTTTCTGATCCGGTAATTATTTCCTTGCTGTCGACGTTGTTGACGGGATAGTCGGATTCTGATCTATCAGAAACCTCGTCGAAAAGATCCTCGGGCTCAGACACATCTTCAACCTCCCCGAAAGGAAAGTTACCGCCGTCTTCGGTGGACCTCAGAAAATCAATTGCATCGGTGTCATCAAGATCATCCTCCTCGTCATTGGGTGTTAGATCGATGCTTTCAGTGTCCTCGGCGAATCCAGTGGGCAGAGTGTCGTCTGAGTCCACTGTCGAGCAGTCGGACACTTCCTCAAAAGGCTCGAATGCTCGATCGCCGTCCGTCGAGGAAACACTCTCGCGCTCCAAGAATCCCAGACCAGAATCTCGCAATATTCCCTTCTCGAACTTGGATCGGGGCATTGATGAGACTGGCGGAGTAGAAGCCATACTCGGTTGCGGATCTGGCCGGGTCTCCTCATCTGGTTCTGGGAAGGATCCCGGCATGGGCACATCGTGTGTCATATATTCCCATGGACTTGGTCCGGGTCCTTGCTTTGCCTTGTCAGTAAGCAATTGTGGCTCGTAAACGGAACAGAAAAGCCTGTCAGTAAGCCGCTGGTTGGTTCCATATGCCGGTTCTTCAGTGCTGTCATCCGTAAAGTCTCTCTTCCCCGGCAGATCAGCCGGGCCTTTGTTGGCAGTTCCTGATATCCACTCCTGGATAGAGTCAATACGTTTGGTAGATAAGCTTTCGGCCCGTGGACGAGAACCAAATGCTTCCACGAAATGCTCCACGGAAGCTATGGTATTCTTTGAGTCGGCATCCGGCCTTGCTGTATCTGAAGGCTCCTCTGAAAACCCATATTGAAACATGGGCTGGCATTTGAAGCAGCAAAATATTCCGAAGGAAGGAGACTCCAGGATTTCTTGCATCAAGACGCGTGAAGAGGGTCGGTTCTCAGGTTGGGTGTCCAACAAAGTTCTGGTCCAGGCTAACGGCTCCTTGTCGTAGTCATCTCTGGTTTCTCGGTTTCCGAGGTGCTTTATCCAAGAAAATAAGACGGAGATGTTGGCATATGGAAAAGGTTTGTTCCTATAAAATTTGGAATTCTCAGAGATCTTGGCCCTCAGATCTTTAGGCTGACGACCGAGAAGCTTTGTGGTCATCTCGAGGTAGATTATCCCAAGAGACCACATATCGCTAGCGGTCCCACGTTCCTTATCCTGGGCTATCTCGGGAGCCATATAATCAGGACTTACTGGCGTCGCTCGATGTCTTGTCATGCTTCCAGGCCTTCCCGTCCAATTATAGGCAGACCCAAAATCACTCACATACACTTCTCCTCGGCAGACCAGCACGTTACGGGACGATAGATCCCGGTGTCTGATGTTCCTTTGGTGAAGATAGTCAACAGCTCCAGCAAGGCAGCCGTAAAAGCGTCTCAGGATATCCTGGCTGTCGTGATCGAGATGTTCAGAATGGCCGAGGAACTGGGCAAGCGTACAGTCCGCCACTGGTTCCATCAGGTAAGCAATATACTCTCTGTCGGTGTAGCTACCAGTGATGCGAATGAGATGCTGGTGTCGCAATTGCTTGAGCTCTTGAAGTTCGTTGAGTAAACATGCTTGATTCTGATGGCTTTGCTCTGTACGGGCTCTAAGAGCCCTCTTTCTGGCATATGTACGGGTGCTGAGGCGGCTGAAAACACGGTCAACCGCTCTGCTTCAGTCAGTTCTCCGTTCGGATTCAATTAGGTGGTATTATATCTCCTACCCGAAGCTCCCCTGCCCCAAGGGTCCCATTGGAGTGTAATAGTCATCCCCACTGGTGTGAATCGGAAGTCTCAGATGGTGGCCTTCCTTCTCTATGTGTCTTGTTTCTGTAAGGAACACATCCTGTGCTTTGAGGAAGTCCCCTCTAATGCTGCTTCCGCTCACATCGGCGACAAAAGAAGGCAGAGTAATATTGTTAAATGGAAGGTGGAAGTCAGTAACATTCGCCGCTGCGAAATTGTTCATGTACTGGAGGCCGTTGATGTTTCGGAGGATCGCATATATCCGAGGCCGCGGTGACCATCTGTGCTCATCATGATGCCGCCCTGCCTGTTGATCAAGAATTCCGAGATAGAGTTGAATGTCTTGAATAGCTTTCTGTGCCGTGCGTCCATTTTGAGTTTCACTCTCTGGTATCTTGAGAGAACAGAGTTGCTGTAACTTAAGATCGATTTCCTGTGACTGGGAAACAGGCACCTGAGCTGCCTGAGCCCGGCCTGGCGGGCTAGCAAACCATCGGACCCAAGAAGTCAGTGAGTTCGACATTGTTGATTGGCAGCTCGCTCCAAGCCATGTGCTCTCAAAACCAAATCAGAGCGAGCGCGGATGCAGAAAAGGGACACACAACGGGCAACGAGGATGATGGAGGGGCAGTCGCTCTTGTCAGACGCCGCATCATGGACACATATGCAACGTGATGGAGGGCACCGATTGTGGTTCTTTCGAGTTGTGAAAGGGTTGGGCCCCACCACCGTACATGAAATCTACCCATTTGGTGTACAGCCTGATTGTCCTCACCCTGTAAATGGCGCTGTGCCTTACCAAATTCATGCATAAACGAGGTCATCTGACGAGGTAGCCGCGGAAAACAGGGGTGCTTTAGTTATATCCTACCCGCTGTTAGACAAGGCAACTGGTTCGCCATTGTACACGCCTTGTGCCCTCCACCAATCTAGGCGAGTTGTCTTAAAACTCCTCTCGAAACTCATCGCGCCATCTCTCCTGAGCAAATAATCATAAACGAAAGCTCCGGTAAGCAAGCTTTCTACGTCCCGCAGAATGGAGGGGGCTGCAGCCGTCGTCGGGATCATCACAGCCGCTGGTCAATCGTTTAGCGCCTGTGTTCAAGCGTTTGAATTTTTCAACACTGCACAGCACATCGGGCCTGATGGAGATTTATTCCGAACGGGCTTGGAGTTTGAGAAGTACCGCCTGATTTCATGGGCATGCCGAGTTGGCATCGACCGTGACAGCAGAAGGTCTGCTCTCAATTGGGAGGTTGCGAAACTCCTGCTGAATCAGCTGGAATTATTTCTTACCTCCGCTGACCGTCTCAAGACGCGATACGCCCTAGAGGTGTCGGAAGAGCAGGTGCAAGAAATCGAAAAGCTTCGAGCTTTGGAGCCCCCGAAGCAAGGCATTGGGAAACTCATCGCACGTCTCAAACCAAACATTTACAACACTTCAGCCCAAATAATCCAGGCAAATAATTCGCCCATCAAACGACTCCTATGGGCTACAAGAGACAAAGAAAAGCTAAAAAGAATTATAAATGAGATAGCAGGTCTCATCGACAAGCTTGAACACCTTCTTGACGACGCGGAACGACTTTCAGAACGGGCGGAGTACACAAAATTGCTTCGCGAAGTTATATCTCTCACTTCAACCACCTCGGAAGCTCGTCAGATTGAAGAGCTGGTCCGCAATGTTCATCAGGAGAACACTGATGACATGGCCATCGAAGCCGCAGCATACGTGAAACAGATCCGACTTGTTGTGGGCATGGACAAGCGGGAAGATGAAGTCAAGCCGACAACTCCCCAGGAGACACTTGGACTAAGCATCAAGCCCTTGAATGTTCTCAAACGCTCTCTTACGTCATGGAAGGGAGAGAGCGAGTCTTTGAGATATTTGGGTCTCGAGTTTGCTTCCTACAACCAAAGACAAGTTCTCATTCAATGGAAGACGGTCGACAGTCTGCACTGGGACATCTACAAAGGACAGATGAAAAGCCTCGCCTTGTTGCTTGCGTCCTTCCGCGACGACTCATTTCACTCGCTTCCATGCAAGGGGTACTACCCCATGAGGAGTCGAGCAATACATGGAATCGTCTACGAAATGCCCGACAACGATACAGACTGGACGTTCAAAACTCTGAAGGACCTCATATCAGAACAGCCGCATGTTTCGCTTGGGCGACGAACAGAAATTGCGAGGATGATAGCCCAGACGGTGCTGCAGCTCCACACAGCTGGTTGGATGCACAAAAGTTTACGGCCCGAGAATATCATCTTCTTGGCTCCACGGGGGTCAAGTAATATCTTGTTCCTCAAGTCTGAGCCTATCATAGTTGGCTACGACTACGCTCGAGCTGACAACGAACATTCAGCAGCGGCATATACTCAACGCCCCGACACCGATGTCGACGCAGACTTATATCGCCATTTGAAGACCCGTGGAGATAATAGGGAGACGTACCAAAAGCGATTTGACCTCTACTCTCTGGGGTGCTTGATCCTAGAGCTGGCCTGTTGGCGGATCCTTCAGTCCATCTTTTCGACATTTGTCACAGAGGGTCTCGCAGACACGATCGAGGATGCGAGAAAGCACAATAGTGTTCTGGATCTTCCCACGATGGATGATATTTTGAAGAACGAAGAGGCCGTGGCTTACATTGAGCATAACGGCGGAACGAAGATCAGAGAAATCATTAGTTTGTGCTGCTCCATTCCCAAGGCAGGCGAGGATGAGGAGGGTCTGCTGAAAGAGCAAGTGGCTGTTGTTCGGGAATTGGAATGGTGTAGAATGTAGCCTCAATTAGATCCCAAGTATGAGTTCAGGGTTTAGATATCTAGGCACCCTGCCTATGTACTGGCTGTGGGTAAAGGATTAATATGTCAAATCAACGCTGCGGACTGTATTCGAGGAGGGGGGCGTTCAGCTCCTTGGTGTCCACACAAAATGTTTAGGGTAGATGAAGCTTCCCAGACACCGAGAACAAAGACCATACAAGATTGAAACAAAGTTTCAATCGCAGGGCAAAAGAAAAATTCCCATGTCCCTCACAAAGCTTTTCAGGTGATAGCTTCTGCTTACTGGTATTTATCTCACTATCACTTAACTACACTGCACTGCCTGGATAATACTAAAGCCTATTTTACCGTCATCTCTACTTGCGTTAGACTTTAGCGGCGGCCCTGACGCTCTCTCTCCGCACGCTCACGAGCCTGGCGCTCTTCTTCCCGCTGTCTATTCTGCTCAGCAAGGCGCGCGAAGTCATCGTCGACTCTCTACAAATCCATCAATCATTCGTTAGTACAATTTGTGTTAAACATTTGGTGAAAGCCACGGTGCAAAACGGCTGTATACTGCTGTCTATACAGCTATACTGCCATTGGGTGGTCTTACCCGTTGCCAGTCTCTGGCCTCTTGTCGGTCTTGCTCACGCTCCTCGTTTCTGCGGCGCTGCTCTCTCTCACGCGCAGGATCCTGTCTACCGAGCATGTTTGCAGCTGGAAGATGTCAGTGTGTTTCTAGAAAGCAGCTGCCATGTCGACAGCTGCAAACTGTGAACTCACAATGGTGTTGATACTTGGCGATTGAATTGGTGTGCGATGTTGGTAGTGATAGATATCTTGAGATACTGAGTTTTGCTTGATTTGTGCTGTGTAGATTTGATTTCAGGGGCGAAAAGACGAGTCTTTTATATGTCAACTCTTCTTTCTTTGGAAACTGAGGATTCGGTGAAGTTTGACAGCGCAAATCCAATCACTGCCCTTGCTCGCGCACACCATTATGGAACGACTCTGCGAATGGGAGCGGTGAAAGGGTTCTTCAGCCATAGACAGATGCAGTGAGGAAGCAGAACACTTCAGACCTGTCACATGAGCCATACCAATGAACTGCGTTATAATGAATTGAAAACTGATTATTGCACATCATTTGGAGACTCAGGCCGAACCAACATATCACCTAATGCTATAGCGATGCTGTGCCTGGAGGACTAACGATACAAAATATTTCAGAGGACAGAGGATCGATAGCAATGTCTGTGAAATATCGGCAATATCCCATCCAACCTCTCGACTTGCATATGCTGATACAAACGGAACTTTAACCTTGGCGGGAGCAAAGCTCATGAAGCATTCACTACCGTAGGTATTAGCTCGTGCTGGCTTGTCATTATCTCTCTAAAGTGAATTAATTGCATCGGAAATGCGTCATCATTGAAATGTTGAAGCTTTTTGTATTCTTGAAGATACTCCCTCAGACAAAATCAAGGTATATGCAGCTTGAAGAAGCAGAAGCATGATAGAAGGGCAATACGCTGTAAGCTGAACCATTGGACGTCTTTTGACTTTTTGCAATTTAACACAGTAGTGACCGCAGGTAGCTAAAGATGCGACACAGTGAATAGGTTGTGTACTGCCCTATTCATTACCACGGCATGATCGGGTAACACATCCTGAGGCGGTCGACAGCGGTTTGCAAAGGCTACCTGCATCAACGGAAGTTTCAATCTCCATCAGACTGGCTGGTGACAGACTGCGCTACTTAGACTGTAGCCACACATTACTTATTTGCCATTCTCTAGCAAAAGTTGTTGGTGTTCTTAGGTATGATGCAAATACATGCAATCACCGCACGTGTTGTATTTTGGTCCACTAAGAGGCAGTGTAAATTCAAAATCTCAAGAGCTATGATAGGTATAGGGTGATTACAACAGTTTCAGTGTTTCAAAGTCTAAAATTGACTAAAGCTAAGATAAAGTCGTTCGTTGATAGAAGAAAGAATAGCGGGGAAGCAAAGTACACCTAGAGAGAATTCCGTCCTGGTGTCAATAGATAGCCCAAAGACTAAACTATAAAACCGGAACTCAGAGGCCCAAATCTGTCTCCTCAATTGTGCTACTTAATAACTACGGTATTTCTCACTGCTGCTATTGCCATGGACGTCATCATAGCGGGTTATCTGCGGTTCTGACGCTGAGCGCGCTCCTGGGCTCGCCGACGGTTCTCTTGAATGGTGGCGTTCCTGGTGTCCACGATTTGCTAAAAAGTGATGTTAGAATATCGGTCGTCGTTTGGGGCATGAAATTCGTCTCGCGTACCTGTGCAAGCTGATCCATATGTCTGTTTTGAGCCTCCTGCCTCTCCTTCTCCTGGCGCTTCTGGAGCTCACGCGATTGATCTTGCTTGCTGAGCATGGTCGCGGCTATAAAATATCAGCTTGTGTCTTGGTACTTTGTGTAAGAGCAGATATGTACCGGGTTGGGTGTGTTAACGCTTGTTGTAGATGTGGTTATAGTGGTTGTTTGGGAAGAGAGTACTGCACAAGTGTTATGCCTTGTGAATATTGTTATGATCTGCTTGTTCATGCTACGAGAGCGTTCCAGAAGTCAACTCATATATAGCCTGGCTTTGTACGCAAAATAATTCACTTTCGAATGGGAAATCGTCGTGCGTGAATAACTATCAGCCTGTGAAGTAGCACTGTGGCGGAAGGCTTCCGGTTCGAGTAAAGGTGCACCGAAAGAAGACTACGTTCACTATTCATTATCACTTCCATAGCAAAACGACCTATGTCGTAGTGACTGACTGGTTGAGAGTTCTTCATCGCGTGCTGTCGACCGTTGAATGACGCTGCCCGTACAGACTCTCGAGCTCGCCAGTACCACACAAGTGACAAAATTACCAGAACAAACTTCAATTAACGATTCCGAAGTGACTTGATAGCGACCTAGGCATCTGGTACTTTGTACTAACTACTTTCATTATTACAAAGACAAGAGTGTACAGCATGAATAGATGGATGTGACATTGCTCAGAGACATTTGGCCTGCTCATGTAAGTTTGAACCTTGCCCTGAGCTGAAGCTTTCTTTCAAAAGGTTGTATGCTTAGATATTATGAGTCCTTGGTACTAAACCACATCTAAAATCTTAGTACGCCCGCATAAAGCATTGTACAAAACCACGTGAACATCATGACATAGCAGACTAGAAGGGTTTTCTCAAGTATCCGGCCCACTCCCACGATTTTGCAAACCGGCTCCACAAGCATGGTCAAAATTATGATAAACAAGAGTCTGCAAACCCCAGCATTTGGTCAGTTATCATAGTCGTGCGGCATGCCGACGGCCTCCTCGGACTTTCATATCAAGAACTCACGGTAAACGACTCCGGCCTACGCGCTCAATAATCTTTCCCACTCCAGTGACCCAAGCACTGCCTGGAATGTTCGCAGGTGGGATAGGGTCACCGATACTGGCGACATCTATGTTCTTTGAGCCCATGTCGTTCCTTGGTGGAGGAAGTTCAGCTGATTTGGAGATTGATTGCCGCCTGAGTTGCGCCATTGATTGATCACAGCGTTTTTATTCTACTGGCTGAAGACTGTGGCGAGGAAATTAAGTGTAATGTGTAAGAATAGTTGTCGCACGAGAGGAAAGTCAAAATGCAAATGCTCGACCACAGCGGCCGGCTTCACAGAGTAATCAGCTTTATGAACAAGACACAGATTTGACAGGGTCTAGTACAGAGCGGCCGCCTTGCGAGCGGCCGCCTCGACATAAGTCCCAACAAGCGGGTACGGGTAGGAGCCGATTCCCGCCTTGGCTTTCCCTAGGCTACAGCGATCCGCCCCACAGATAGAGACTCATGAGAGCCCAATCGAATGGTCACAGCCGGTTCCCGATTCCGATAGAATGCCCACTCATGTCACAAAAGCTTTCTTTTTCCAACCTAAGTTCCATCAAGATTTCTAATTAAGCCGAAAAGGCGATGAGTTTCACGATGCTGTGGAGATCGGTTTGTGATCTGTCACTTCAAAACAGGCAGCAAAGAGCCGCAGCGTAAAAAACATCGAGTTCGGTGATGTACTAATCCGGAAGAACTGAAGGAGAAGACATATCTTTAGCCCATGCTTTTCATGAACAACGATAATTGGCTTGAGCTTTGGCATTGGGCCAAGAACACCGTCGATATGTCGGTGAAACGCATTTTCCTCCATGCAAGGTGATTGCCGAAGTGACACCTTTCCTACCCCTTTCTCTAGATTCTGTGACCACTATTGCTAGACAGGATACCGAGATACTTGTTTTGAGGTATTGCAAGCATTGGAACCCTTGCTATCAGGTCTGGAACAGATAGAATTCGCAGAGTCTACGTACATCTTTCTCTTGAATCTGAGGTGCATTCGGAAGTACAATCCACCTGCCTATGAAAAAGTCCCCTGATTTGAGAGTCTGTGGGTGCTGCGGAATGTGTCCCAGGGATTATCATCACACGGCGGCTCGCCAGGGTTTGTAATCGGGAGCCGCTCGAGAAGTCTTTCGATACGAGGGACTTTGGTACACTATCTCGAAGAAGCAGGTGTTGAGGGCCATTGGCTGCATCGTCGAGTCGGTTAGTGGAGATATTCGCAAGGATGTATGACTTTCCAACTAATGGTCAGTTGGAGGGGACAATGACTTGCTCCCTAGGTTTTCACGGGATTTGTATATAAGCTGCAGATTTGCTTCCAAGTTTGCGGTTGTTTGTGCATCGATTTCAGCTACGACACCTTATCACTCATTTCTCTCAGCTTTCAAGCAAGTCAATCCTCCGGCCACAACAATGAAGTTCCTCCAGACTGCCGCGTACGCCTTGATGGCCAGCCAACTTACGGCGGCTGCGCCTTTGACGGAAACAGATTCGACGAAGAGTATCATTGAATTTCGCACTCCCAATGATGCCTATACCGTGAAGGCCGAGTTGGAGCAACGAACCAACGTTTGTAGAAGGATCGGCACAACTCTCCGTACAATTGGCAC